AGCCACTTATTGTCTATAACTACCCGAAAGGAATCAAAGCTTTTTACATGAGACTTAACGACGATGAGAAGACTGTTGCAGCCATGGATGTCCTCGTTCCAAAGGTGATATTAAAATTCATCATCTTTGCATAATACTGACTCAAAGTTGAATGCTTTTCCTTTATTTGTGTTATTCATCATCGAAGAAACACATCAACGGCCTCTTTCCTTAACTTTTTCTCTGTATAAATTAGGTTGGAGAACTCATTGGTGGAAGCCAAAGGGAAGAACGATATGATGTCATAAAAAAGAGGTGTGTGAAAGTGAAACCAATATTCAATTTTATTGGCTCTTTTTAGGTTCTTTTGTGATCTTTTATGAAGCAAATCTGGTGTTTTAACAGGATTGAGGAGATGGGTCTACCAATAGAGCCATATGAGTGGTATCTTGACTTGCGCCGATATGGAACAGTGAAGCATTGTGGATTTGGACTTGGCTTCGAACGTATGATTCTGTTCGCTACAGGAATTGATAACATCAGAGATGTTATTCCTTTCCCTCGCTATCCTGGAAAAGCTGATCTTTGATTCCTCTTCTTTACACCATTTACAAACACAATTTCGATTGTTTTTTATTAGCTGGTCTGGTTTTGATACCCGACTTGGTTTTAGTTTACTTTTAAAGTTGGTTAAATGAAAATTGTTTGGTTTTTGACTTTTGATTTTATATCTCTATGGATCTGCTTTTGTTCGGTTATCCCGATTGACAATCTCTTTGGCTTGTTGGAGTTCTTTTTGAAAAATGCAGAAAAACTAGAACTCGCAGCACGACCAATCTCTACACATCGAAAGTATCCATACACTGAAACGTTACAAAAATTAAAGATTGAGAAACTAACTCATTGAATAATTGTGTAACAGATGTAATTAGGGCTGGGCTTTTAAACTGAACCGAATGTACCGAACCGAAACCGAAGCAAAAAAACTGAACCGAACCGAAAATTTGAAAATAACCGAATGGATATTATAACCGAAATAACTGTAACCGAATCGGTACCGAACCGAAATATTTCGGGTAACCGAAATACCCGAAATACAATTATATTTTCGAAATAATTAGTTATTTATAGACCAAATAATCAAAATTTTTTGAAAAATCTATAAAAATAGTAAAAATACTCAAAAATAACCGAAAAATATCCAAAAATATTCGAAAATACTCAAAAATAACCGAAATATCCGAAAATATCCTAAGCAAAATAACCGAATGGATACTAAATTTTAAAACCGAAAGAACCGGAACCAAACCGAAACTGAACCGAAATTTCAAAATATCCGAATGGATACTAAATTTTAGAACCGAAAGAACCGAAAACCGAATGGACCCAACCGATAACCGAACGGATAACCGAAAGCCCAGGCCTAGATGTAATGATCCCATGGTCTATAGGCGCGCTTTCTCCTTCCCGAGAGAATCGAGTTTGGAAAAATTAAATAAGCGAGAGCCGTCGTTTTGTGTTACATTACAGTTCCAAGGAAGTAAAAACTAGCTAAAAGATTAAACAACAATGGAGTAAAACTAAGGTTTTATAATTAACCATTTCTTCAAACTTGTTTGGATCCATTATAACATATGCATCACCAACCAGGCAACAACATGTAGCAACCGATGAAATACAAAAGAAAGATATCCTCCTTGCTTGCTCTTGCGACTGTATCTGCTTCGAACAATCGACACCTTACTCTGCTGCTCCTTGAGACGTCGTTTCAAACGCATTTGAGAAAGAAAAAAAAACTGAATAAAGCTAAGAAAGTGGACAAATATGTACCTTGAGTCCAACAAGCAGAGTCATGAGGAAGATGAGGCAAGTACAAGCAGAGTCATGAGGAAGATGAGGCAAGTGGTCTCAGCTGATTCGTCGTTCTGCCATCTTCTCTATCGATCTCCATTGCCGCAAATTACTTTCTTTAGAGTAAGTGTTTTAGGCATTAAGCGTCTTCTTCTAGCTCCTACATCTCTAAAACCCTGATTCGGGTCGGACTAATATTAACGGGTCGGTTTCTTTCAGTGATGGCCTGATGGGGTCCGGGCCGTCCGGCTCAGGCTTAGGCCCACTAGAGATTTCGATAGTTATTGGCGAGTTAGGATTTTCTAGGGTTTTGTCTCTGCGGCTTGGTGTGGCATTGTTTGAGACTCACGGTATTCTTGTTTTTTCCTTAAAATTTTTTTTTCAGGTTCGGAAAAACCAAAGTTCTGTCGATTGTAACAGTATCTTGGGTTTCTGATATGTCTAAAATCAGTGAGTTGTCTGATGACTTGCTCGTTAAGATATTATCGTTTCTTCCAACAAAAGAAGCAGTATCAACTAGTGTTTTGTCGAAACATTGGGAGTTTCTTTGGATGTGGTTGCCTAAACTTAAGTACAATGATTACGAAGATCTTAATAGCAATCATACAGAGTCTTCACTTCTGGTGTATCATGATTTTATTTACAAGAATCTTCCATTACACAGAGCTCCCATCATAGAAAGCTTGCGCCTCAAATTTAATTTTGCTTTAAGCCGACCTGAGGATATCAAACTGTTTGTTGAAATTGCAGTTTCTCGCCGAGTGCGTAAGCTAAGTATTTGCTATTTTAATTTCTGGTCTGAATCTCAGCTGGTATTATTTCCGTCTAGTTTGTATACATGCAAATCGCTTGTGACTTTGAAACTTGAAGGCAATAAGATTCTTGTGGATGTTCCTCCAACGGTTAGTCTCCCTTCCTTGAAAACTTTGCGACTTGGATGGGTGACATATTTGAATGTGGATGTTCTTCTGATGCGTATGTGATAGTTACACCTTCGTTGAAGTATTTCAAAGTTGTGGATCCTAGAGATAGTCTCTCCTATTTGATTGAGCATATGCCAGAGCTGGAAGAGGCAGATATCAATGTTAAGCAAAATCCCGATAAGCTTCTCGTATCAATCACATCTATCAAACGTCTTTCATTACAAGTAGACTTCCACAGCAAGGAAGAGGTAATCTGTTTCCATCTATAAACTAACAAGTTTTCAATTTTGCATTATATTTACTTATAACACTAAATCATGTAGCGTTTTCACGTGCATAGCCCGGATATCATGCTGGTATTGTCTTCAATCATCTTGAACATCTGGAGCTATGTATAAGCAACAATTATGGGTACAAGTTACTAGTCCGGTTGCTCAAAGATTCACCTAAACTCCGAGTCCTCAATATCTGCGTCCATGTAAGTTTCTTTTTATATATATAATCTAATCGAAGACTCAGTAAGTGGAACTAAATTAGTAGTGGCGCAAACACTGTATTGTGTAATCTTAACTCTGTCCTACCCTTGTCTCAGATTGATATACAATCTGGCGAGTATCAACCGGACTTTAATTTCCACGGTTTGACTAGTCTTGAAGGGAGCTCTGTTCCTAAATGTTTGTTGAATAGTCTTGAAACTTTCGACTTTAAAGGGTACAAAGGAAGCCTAGAAGAGAGAGACTTCTTGAGTTTTATCTTCAAACATGCTGCTCATTTGAAATCTTCATCAATCTCGCAGTGATCATGTTATGTTCCACAACAGAGACTTTTTTTTTTTTTTGCGTAAGTTTCCACAATAGAGACTTTGAAAATGATCAAACACTCTATTTAATAATTATGGATTTTAGGTTTTGTCTTGTTGTGTAAAGAGTTGATAAGGTTAGAGCTATGAATCTCTCTTATTCCTTAACCACAAGATCCGATACACTGTTTACACAAGAGAGCCTCTAGAAGACTAGAACTTGTCTAGATCATAACTCTCGATCACAGCAACACATCGCCGCCACTCCACTAGATGATTCCAAGTCTTTGCTTACGCCAGCTCATGTGTCACGTCAGCGGTGATCATTATATGCTTATCAGGAGTAAGTGTTTTAACTAGATGTGGAATTTCTTTTCGAACAAAACGTGTGCCTTCTTGTCACGTTGTAGTTCTATCGTCTGATGTTAACATACGTTCTTGTATGTGTGTGCCTTGTGACTCAAGTTTAGCTCTTTTCAAAGAAGAGAACCAATTCAGGTTGTGGAACATTCGTCTCCTTCTGCTCAAGTACTCTCGTCAACTACAAGTTTGGAAGCTCAAAGGGTTTAACTTCACATAGTCCTCTATATGCTTCTTTAAGAAGTTAACATTAAATCGAAAATTTGATACTGCCTTATCTTAGAGTATCAAATGGGTGGATTGATCAAACCTAAATTCGTCTAGGTTCGAGAGTTTTTTTTTTGTTTTTTGTTGTAACAAAACAGGTCCGAGCATGAGCGTAGAGAAGGTTCCCTGCTCATGACATCTGTATCTACAAGCACATTTTTACATCTCAGTTTTTAATTCAAAAGGACTTGGAGAAGCACAAATGTGAACACATTTCAAATCATGGTTCACACGATTTGGAGAGAGAGGAACGCACGACGACATGGAGAAGTACCACGCCGGGCAACCACTCTCATAAGTTGGATCGATAAGCATGTCCGCAATCAACTCTCGGTTATACGCTCAATAGGTGACAGGCGCTATGACCTAGCTCTTCAAGCCTGGTTTGCCTCTCAAGCCTAATAAGCCCACAGAAATCTATCATCCACTTTCTCATGCTCTGTTTTTTTAAATCAAAGCTCTGTTCTCTGTTTCTTTTTAAATTAGGCTCTTCAAAATGTCAAAAGAAAGCTGATGTAAACCGTATATTTTTTTCTTGAATATAATTTAACATTTTATTCGAAAAAAAAAAAAAAAAATTCAAAAGGATTTGAAATTTGGTTATTAGGCCACATCTTTCAACATTTGAGACACAGATTTAGTTTGATCACCCCTACGATCAAACTAAATTCCAAAGAGTCACAACAGATTAAACAGCAAAGAGTCAAGAAAATTCCAAATGATAAGATCATGAAGAAAAAATTGAGTCTTTTCAATAAAAAAGAGTTTCACATGAATAGTGGCCCAGTAACAGGCCCATCAGATATTTATATCATTAAGGTGAATTATCGACGGCGAAGAACGAAGCTCTTTTTTTTTTTACTTGGATGGAGACGACAAAGTTCTGCGATTCCAATAACTTGTGATAAACCACCTCCGTCTTCTTCACTCTCCTTCAATTTATAGGTTCAAGCTTTGTTTAGATCCTACCATTTCTCGATTCTTAGCTCACAAAAACTCAAAAGTCTTATTAAGAGTTGAAATGGGTTTAGGTTTACTGTTTCGAAAAATGCTTTCTCAGTTCTTCGGGCGCTTCCGATTTTAATTTTGGGTTCCCGAGCAGAAATCGAGCTTCCTAGGCTGAAATTTATAGGTTTGTTGTTCTGTTCCTTACTTTGTCTTCGCTTGTTTTGTAATTTGTTTGGTTGAATTCAGACAAATCTTTTAGTCTTAGGTTTTGTTTTCTTGTGGTTCTTTTTTTTTCCCAGGGTCGGAAAACCCCAAGTTTGGTAAAGTGTTACATTATCTTGGGTCCTTAATTGATATGGCTAAAATCAGTGACTTGTCTGATGAATTACTGGTGAAGATATTATCGTTTCTTCCAACAAGAGTTGCTGTATCAACTAGTGTTTTGTCGAAACAATGGGAGTTTCTTTGGATGTGGTTACCGAAACTTGAGTACGATAACTTTACTGAATGACAAGAATCTGCCATTACACAGAGCTCCCATCATAGAAAGCTTGTGCCTTAGGTTTTTTTCTGGATCACTTAAACCTGAGGATGTAAAATCGTGGGCTGGAATTGCAGTTTCTCGCTGCGTGCGTGAGCTAAGTATCAGCTATTCTCATTTCTATAAAGAACCTGATTTGTTATTGCCCAGTAGTTTGTATACCTGCAAATCGCTTGTGACTTTGAAACTTGAAGGCTATAAGATTCTTGTGGATGTTCCTCCAACGGTTAGTCTCTTTTCCTTGAAAACTTTGCGACTTGGATGTGTGACATACTCAAACGATGATTCTCTTCGACTGCTTCTATCCGATTGCCCTGTTCTCGAAGATCTGTTTATTGACCGAGAAGGCGATGACAATATGAGAAAGTTGGTTATCATTGTCCCATCCTTGCAGCGTTTAACTTTAATTATAGACCAAGATTGTTCTTCTGATGGGTATGTGATGGTTACCCCTTCTTTGAAGTATTTCAAAGTTGATGATTATAGAAGTGAAAGCGCCTGTTTGATTGAGCATATGCCAGAGCTGAAAGAGGCAGATATCAGTCTAATGGGAGATATTGAGAAAGATACTGAAAGTCTTCTCAAATCAATTACAACTGTCAAACGTCTTACATTGCGCGTAAGAGAGGTAATATGTTTCCATGTGTCCACAAGTTTTCAATCTCATTATTTTACTTAGAGCAGAAATCGGATTTTCTTGAGTTTGATTTCTTTTGTTATATTTCTGCAGACTGTTGTGTATCCCGATTGTATTTTCTTCAGCCAGCTTGAAAATTTGAAGGTATATATATGCAGCAAAAATTGGTCAAAGTTACTTGTCCACTTGCTCAAAGGTTCTCCTCACCTGCGAATCCTCGATCTCGAGGCCGATAAAAATGTAAGTGTTTCTCCATCGACGACTTTGCGTAAAGCTCAGTATGGTGTATTGATGTGATTTTAACTCTTCTTTTTCATTTTTTCCTTAAATTTTAGTATAAGCAGGTTAGCTGGAGCAAAAGTCAGGGCTCCGTTCCTAAATATTTCTTGAATAGTCTTGAAACTTTCAAGTTTAAAGGGTACAACAGTAAGGACCAAGAAGACAGAGATTTCATGAGTCTTATCTTCAAACATGCTCGTTGCTTGAAATCTACATCAATCTTGCACGGATGATGTTATGTTCCACAATTGAAACTTGAATATGATCTAAGAGTCGTCGTATTATTATATGCTTATCAGGAGTAAGTGTTTTAACTAGATGTGGAATTTCTTTTCGAACAAAACGTGTGCCTTCTTGTCACGTTGTAGTTCTATCGTCTGATGTTAACATATACATTCTTGTATGTGTGTGCCTTGTGACTCAAGTCTAGCTCTTTTCAAAGAAGAGAACCAATTCAGGTTGTGGAACATTCGTCTCCTTATGCTCAAGTACTCTCGTCAACTATAAGTTTGGAAGCTCAAAGGGTTTAACTTCACATAGTCCTATATGCTTCTTTAAGAAGTTAACATTAAATCGAAAATTTGATACTGTCTTATCTTAGGGTATCAAATGGGCGGAATGATTAAACCTAAATTCGTCTAGGTTCGAGTGTTTTTTTTAAAAAAAAACAAAACAGGTCCGAGCATGAGCGTAGAGAAGGTTCCCTGCTCATCACATCTGTATCTACAACTACAAGGGCATTTTTACATCTCAGTTCTTAATTCAAAGGCTTTGAAATTTGGGTATTAGGCCACATCTTTAAACATTTGAGACATCTTACTTTGAACATCCATACAATCTATTCTTCGTAATTGTGAGATTTTCAACAATTAAACAGCAAAGATTCAAGAAAAGTCTAAATGATAAGAGCACAACAGATTGTCAGATTCAATCATGAAGAGGGAAATTAGTATTTTCAATAAGAGTTTCACATGGATTCTGGCCCAGTAAGAGGCCCATTTTATATCATTAAGGTTCTTTTATTAAACCATTCGCTAAATGGAAGCTAAACGGTCTGATGAGTGGTGGTGCTAACTGGTGATTTATCGACGGCGAGAACGACAAGCGATTCCGATAACTTCCGGTAAATCACCTCCTTCTTATTCACTCTCCTTCAATTTCTAGGTTTAAGCTTTGTTTTAGATCCTACCATTTCTCGATTCTTAGCTCACAAACACTCAAAGTCTATTCAGAGTTGAAATGGGTTTACTGTTTCGAAAAATGCTTTCTCAGTTCATCGGGCGCTTCCGATTTTAATTTTGGGTTGCCGAACAGAACTCGGGCTTCCACCGAATCTTCAAAGGAAAAAACTCATCAGCAGAAATTTCTAGGTTTTTTGTTCTGTTCCTTACTTTTGTCTTCACTTGTTTTGTAATTTATTTGGTTGGATTCAGACAAATCTTTTAGTCTTAGGTTTTGTTTTCTTGTGCTTCTTTTTTTTCCAGGGTCGGAAAACCCCAAATTTGGTAGAGTGTTACATAATCTTGGGTCCTTGAGTGATATGGCTAATATCAGTGACTTGTCTGATGAATTACTGGTGAAGATATTATCGTTTCTTCCTACAAAAGTTGCAGTATCAACTACCGTTTTGTCTAAACAATGGGAGTTTCTTTGGATGTGGTTGCCTAAACTCGAGTTCTACTTTAGATATCGTTCAGAGTCTAGTGCATGGCTGACGGATTTTATTGACAAGAATCTGCCATTACACAAAGCTCATATCATAGAAAGCCTACGCCTTCACTCACTTTATGGAAAACTTCACCCTGAGGATTTGAAACCGTGGGTTGGAATTGCAGTTTCTCGTTGTGTGCGTGAGCTAAGTATCCATTTATCTCCTGCTATGAAACCTGCTGTATCAATGCCCAGTAGTTTGTATTCCTGCAACTCACTGGTGACTTTGAAACTTGACGGCCAGATGATTCTTGTGGATGTTCCTCGAATGGTTTGTCTCCCTTCCTTGAAAACTTTGCAACTTGGATGTGTGACATACTCGAACGACGATTCTCTTCGACTGCTTCTATCCTATTGCCCTGTTCTCGAAGATCTTTTTATTGACCGAGAAGGCTATGACAATGTGAGAAAGTTGGTTATCATTGTCCCATCCTTGCAGCGTTTAACTTTAATTATAGACCAAGATTGTTCTTCTGATGGGTATGTGATGGTTACCCCTTCTTTGAAGTATTTCAAAGTTGATGATTATAGAAGTGAAAGCTCCTGTTTGATTGAGCATATGCCAGAGCTGGAAAAGGCAAATATCAGTCTAATGTTAGATATTGAAAAACATACTGAAAGGCTTCTCAAATCAATCACAACTGTCAAACGTCTTACATTGCGCATGACATTCAACAGTGGAGAAGAGGTAATATGTTTCCATGTGTCCGAAAGTTTTCCATTATTTCACTTAGAACACGAAATCTGATTTCTTGAGTTTGATTTCTTTTGTTATATGTCTGCAGACTGTGTATCCCGATGGTATTGTCTTCAGCCAGCTTGAAAATTTGAAGGTATATATATGCAGCGAAAATTGGTCAAAGTTACTTGTCCACTTGCTCAAAGATTCTCCTCAACTTCGAATCCTCGATCTCGAGGTCGATAATGTAAGTGTTTCTCCTTCGACTACTTTGCCTAAAGCTCAGAATTGGTGTGATTTAACTTAACTCTTCTTTTTCATTTTTTTTTTAATTCAGTTCAGTGAAATTTATGGGGAGTATGAACAGGTTAGCTGGAGCAAAAATCAGGGCTCCGTTCCTAAAAATTTCTTGAATTGTCTTGAAAGTGGACTTACCAAAAGGATCTCAGGTTCATCCAGTTTTCCATGTGTCACAACTCAAGGTGTTAGTAGGTAATGTTCACACTTCCACACAGTTACCTTCAGTCTTATTGGATGTGTTTGAAAGAGAGCCTGAAGCTGTTTTGGAGAGAAGGATGGTGAAGAGACAGGACAAGGCAGTGACTCAGGTTCTGATCAAATGGGTGAATGAGCCAATGGAAGAGGCAACCTGGGAGTATCTGTTTGACATTAAGAAGAAGTATCCTGAATTTGAACATTGAGGTCAATGTTCTTCAAAGGGGGAAGATTTGTTGCAGGTATTCTAGAAGGAAGAAAATAACGCACGTGGGAAGTCGCACGTGTGAGTCAAGAGTCAAGTGGCAAAAGGAATCTCGAAGGTAGCCACGTGGGAGTCAATAATCGGTCATCTTCGAATTCATGCCGTTAGCATAAAAAGAGCGTGTGTGCTCAAGTTTTTATTATGCATTTTGTCTAAGAACATTTCTATTCTCTCTCTCTAGAATCTTCTTGGATTTCTCTGGGTTTCTCTCATCTTGAGAGCCAGATTGATAATCAGATCCGCGTTTTATGAACGTTGTTTTGATTCACGGTGTTATTTGCTCTATTCGTGTGTTATTTTTACTCTGTTTGTGTGTGGAATCGATACGGTGAAGTTAGCTGTATCATTCTCTTAGACTGCTTCTAAAATGTTGCCCTATTCTGGAAAATCTAAGTATTCAACGAGTTGGATACGACAATTTGAATGTGTTAGTTATTAATGTCCCTTCATTGCAGCGTTTATCCTTACTTGATAGTGTATGTTCTTCTGATGGGTGTGTGATAGTTACCCCTTCTTTGAAGTATTTCAAATTTGATTATTTCAAAGTTAAAGATGATTGTAGTGAAAGTTTCTCTATTGAGCACATGCCAGAGCTGGAAGAGGCAAATATCATAATTAGGAGAAGTACTAAAGAGCTTCTCAAATCAGTTACATCTTCCAGACGTCTTTCATTACGACTAGCATTCGACTCTGCAAAAGAGGTAGTCTCTGTTTGCATCTGTCAACTTCAAGTTTATATATTTTTCTTGAGTTTGAATTAATCTCTTGTTACTATGTTGTGGTGTGTGCAGACTGTGTATCCTGATGGTATTGTCTTCAATCAGCTTGAAAAATTAGAGCTATGTATATGGAATGATGATTGGTCCAAGTTACTTGTCCAGTTGCCCAAAGATTCTCCTAAACTGCAAATCCTTAATCTCATCGTTGATGATGTAAGTTTCTTCGTCCACTATTTTGCAGTCTAAAAGCACAATATGGTGTGTAGTTTTTTTAACTCTTCTTTTTCTTTTTAATCTCAGAGTAAGTCATATTTTGTGGGTTATAAACCGGTTAGCTGGAACAATAATCATGAGAGCTCCGTTCCAACATGTTTCTTGAATAGTCTTGAAACTTTCAAGTTTTCAGGGTACAAGGAAAGACAAGAAGAGAGGGATTTCTTGAGTTTTATCTTCAAACATGCTCGTTGCTTGAAATCTACATCAATCTTGCGCGAATCAGAACGATGTCATGAGTTTTTTGTTTTATGAGATATGTTCCACAATAAAAACTTGAAAATGATCTAAGAGTCGTCATTATATTATGGTTTTTGTATTTCTTCTTTGAATGTGGGAACTTGTTTTCGATCGAACAAAACTTGTGTCTTCTTATCTTCTGGTTTTCTTTTGTTATAGATATCAATATATCCTCTGGTAAGTTTGTATGTCGTATAAACTACAATTTTTATGTCTCTGCCTTGTGACTCAAGTTCCTTATCTAAGAAGAGAACCAACTCAGGTCGTAGAACATTCATGTGCCTTGTAAAATACTGGTTCGGAAGCTCAACCCTAATCAAATAGTCCCATGCTTGTTTAAGAAGCTACGTTTAAAACGAAAATTTGACCTTGTCTTACCTTAAGGTTCAATACATCATGTAAACAGATCCGAGCATGAACGTAGAAAAGGTGAACACAGCTGTATTTCTCAGCTCATGAAATCTTATCAACAGCTCTTGATTAAAAGTTAAACCTTAGTTGATATATTTAGGCTTCAAATTTTGGTCATTATGTCCATATAGTGGACGACATCTAGCATAATTTGATACAGAGTAACGGAGATCATCCCTACTACTTTGTGTAAATGTTTAGGGTACAATAATCATGAGAGCTCCGTTCCAACATGTTTAACTTTCAAGTTTTCAAGGTACAAGGGAAGACAAGAAGAGAAGATTTCTTGAGTTTTATCTTCAAACATGCTCGTTGATTGAAATTAAATCTACATCAATATTGGGTTGATCATCATGTTATGCTCCCTTTAAATAGTTATTTGTATTCGTTTAAGGATTTTTAGGTTTGTTTTGTTGTTCAAGAATCAGGGGTATTTTAACTAGATATGGAACTTGTACCTTCTTGTCATGTTGTAGTTCTATCGTCTCTTCTTTTGTTTTTTTGCCATCATTCTATCGTCTGGTTAATTTCAACCATTTGTATATGTGTGTGCCTTGCGACTCAAGCCTTTTTCAATGAAGACAACCAACTCATGTTGTGGAACATTCTGTCTCCTTATGTGCTCAAATACTCCCATAAACTACAGTTTAGGAAGCTCAAGGGTTAACTCAACCTGAATCACATAGTCCTATGCTTGTTTAGGAAGTTACGGCTAAATCGAGAATTTGATGTTGTCTTATTTCTTAGGGTGTCAAATTGGCGGATTGACTCTACCTAAATCCGTATCCGTTAAGAGTGTTTATTACTTTCTCATTGATTATATACCAATTTGACCGGATTTAGGTTTCCAAATGAATTGAAAACAAGCCTTTTCAGGGTTCTCGTTCTTCTTAGAACCTGCTTTAGGTCCATAAACTTGAAAGCTAAGAATGTGTAATCGAAACATGGAGACTGACAAAAATTTACTTTTGAGTCCAACAGCAAGCGGTCTCAGATGATTTAAAGTTCTACCATCTTCTCTATCGATGTCCACTGCAGCAAATTACTCTCTCCAGAGTAAGCGTTTTAGTAACTAACAAGCGTCTTCTTCTTTGTTTCTCTCTAGCTCCTAAATCTCTAAACATTCAGGTCGGGCTAATGATATTAACGGGACGGTTTATTTCAGTAGTGGGTCTAACTAATTGAGTCCGGCTAAGGCCCAGGCCCATTAGAAACTCGATATATATCAAAGGACTTTCTAAGGGTTTGTCTTTGTTCCTCGCCTCCTCGGTGTGGCATTGTTTGAGTCTCACGGTATTCTTATTTTTTCAGGTTCGGAAAAACCAAAGTTCCGTCGGTTGTAAAACTATATTGGATGTGTGATATGGATAAAATCACTGAGTTGTCTGATGATTTTCTCGTGAAGATATTATCGATTCTTCCAACAAAAGAAGCAGTATCAACCAGTGTTTTGTCGAAACGATGGGAGTTTCTTTGGATGTGGTTGCCTAAACTTGATTTCAGCATGAGTCGTAGTTCAGAGTATCCGCGCTTGAGGGATTTTATTGACAAGAATCTGCCATTACATAGAGCTCCTATCATAGAGAGCCTGGACCTTAGGCTTAGGTTTTGTAGTGAATTAGTTAAACCTGAGGATGTAAAATCGTGGGCTGGAATTGCAGTTTCTCGCTGCGTGCGGGAGCTAAGTATCTATTTTCATTTCTATAAAGAACCTGGTTTGTTATTGCCCAGTATTTTGTATACCTGCAAATCGCTTGTGACTTTGAAACTTGAAGGCTATAAGATTCTTGTGGATGTTCCTCCAACGGTTTGTCTCCCTTCCTTGAAAACTTTGCGACTTAGATGGGTGAAATATTTGAAGGAAGATTCTCTTGGACTGCTTCTATCGCATTGCCCTGTTCTGGAAGATCTGAGTATTGAACGATGTCATAATGACAATGTGAGAGCGTTAGTTGTTATTGTCTCGTCCTTGCAGCGTTTATCTTTAATTATAGACAGTGGATGTTCTTCTGATGCGTATATGATTGTTACACCTTCGTTGAAGTATTTCAAAGTTGTGGATCCTAGAGATAGTCTCTCCTATTTGATTGAGCATATGCCAGAGCTGGAAGAGGCAGATATCAATGTTAAGCAAAATATCGAGAAGCTTCTCGTATCAATCACCTCTGTCAAACGTCTTTCATTACAAGTAGGCTTCAGGATTAACAAAGAGGTAATATATATTTCAATCTATTCAATTGCATTATATTACTTTTTACACTGATTAATCTGGTGCTTTTCCTATCCACGTGTGCAGCCCGTGTATGATGCTGGTATTGTCTTCAACCAACTTGAACATCTGAAGCTATTTATAAGAAAAGATTATTGGTCCAAGTTACTTGTCCGGATGCTCAAAGATTCACCTAAACTCCGAGTCCTAAATATCTACGTCCATGTAAGTTTCTTGGCTAAATATTTTATCAGTCTAAAACAACTTTATGGTGGAATCTTAACTCTATATATATATTATCATGTTGTTGTCTCAGATTTTTCCACGTTTTGAGGAGTATCAACCAGACATTAATATCCACGATTTGACTAGTCCTGAAGGGATCTCTCTCCCTAAATGTTTGTTGAAGAGTCTTGAAACTTTCGAGTTTTCAGGGTACAAGGGAAGACAAGAAGAGAGGGATTTCTTGAGTTTTATCTTCAAACATGCTTGTTGCTTGAAATCTTCTACAATTTCGAACTGATCATGTTATGTCGCAGTACTGTAGAAAAATGATCAAAGACTAGTCATATTCGATGTGGAACTTGCTTTCGAACAAAACTTTTGCCTTGTTATCATGTGGTTAATTCTATCGTCTTTTCAAAGGAGAGAACCAAATCAGGTTGTGGAACATTCGTCTCCTTATGCTCAAATATTCTCGTAAACGACCGAATCCCCTACGTCGGTGTAATAAGTTTCTTCTATGACTGTTTATCTGTCTAAACGTACTATCAAGTCTCAGTAAATGTGAGATTCATCAGCTCAATTAATCAGCAAAGATTTGATCAAATTCCAGATGATAAGAGCATATATAATAAGAGTTAATCATTAAGAAGAAAATAAGTCACTTCAAAAAACTATATAAGCAATTTTAAGTCGTACTACAAAGAAGGAAGTGCATGTATATCACTCCAGCATGAGTTTAAAAAGGTTCTAAATATTTGAATATACTTAAAGATCATCAGTTTCCAAGAAGACTGACCCAGTGTTAGAGTTATTACAACTCTTGACCAGACTTCATTACTCATTTATTGTCTCTTAGACTTCATCATTTGTCTCTTAGACTTTCTCACTTTATCTCTTCGTTTCGCTCACATGTATTGTGTATATATACCTATGCACTTTCTCTTATCAATCATCAAAAAAAAAACAAGAGATTCATCTTTTACTCCCAGTACGAGGCCCATCAAAGATTTTTATCATAAAGGTTTGATCTGATAAGTGGTGGTGACTGCAGGTGGTGATATCGACGGCGAGAACGAAGCGACTTTTTTCACTTCAATGGAGACGATGAAGCTCTGCAATTCCGATAACTTGTGATAAACCACTAAGTTCTTCTTCATTCTCCTATCATTTCTCGAATCCTGGCTCACAAACACTCAGTCTAGTCAGAGTAGAAACGTATATACAGTTTCGACAAATGCTTTCTTCTCAGTTATTCCGGCGCTTCTGATTTTAGGTTCTCATAGCAGAAATCGAGATTCCACCGAATCTTCACAGGAAAAACTCATCATCGAAATTTCTAGGTTTGTTGTTCTATTCCTCGCTTTGTTTTTCAGTTGTTACTAATTTTTCTAGTTGGCTTTTTAGTAATCTTTTTTAGTCTTATGGTGTTTTCTTGTGATTTTTGTTTTCAGGGTCAGAATACACTAAGTTCTGTTGATTGTAACATTATTAGTGAAGTGGTATGGCTAAAATCAGTGACTTGTCTGATGAATTACTGGTGAAGATATTATCGTTTCTTCCAACAAGAGTTGCTGTATCAACTAGCGTTTTGTCCAAACAATGGGAGTTTCTTTGGATGTGGTTGCCTAAACTTGAGTACGATGATTACGATCACATTACTGATCGTTCACAGTCTGCATTCCAGACATATCGGGATTTTATTGCAAAGAATCTGCCATTACACAGAGCTCCCATCATAGAAACCTTGTGCCTTAGATTTTGTCGTGGATCACTTAAAACCTAAGGATTTGAAACCGTGGGTTGGAATTGCAGTTTCTCGCTGTGTGCGTGAGCTAAGTATCGGTTTATCTCATTTCAATGTTGTATCATTGCCCAGTAGTTTGTATACTTGCAAATCGCTCGTGACTTTGAAACTCGAAGGCGAGAAGGTTCTTGTGGATGTTCCACGAACGGTTTTTCTCCCTTCCTTGAAAACTTTGCAACTTGAACGTGTGACATATTCAACTGAAGATTCTCTTCGGCTGCTTCTATCCTACTGCCCTGTTCTGGAAGATCTGAGTATTGTACGAGATGAGAATGACAATTTGAGAGCGGTAGTTGTTATTGTCTCGTCCTTGCAGCGTTTATCCTTAGAGATACCCGGTCTATGTTCTTCTGATGCGTATGTGATAGTTACCCCTTATCTGAAGTATGTCCTATTTGATTGAGCATATGCCCGAGCTGGAAGAAGCAGATATTGTTGTTCTGCAGGATCCCGAGAAGCTTCTCGAATCAGTTACATTTTTCAAACGCCTTTCTATACGCGTAATATTCAACAGTTCAATACAGGTATCTGCTTTCATGTTATCTACCTCATTATTTTTATTTAAGACACAAAATCGGATTTTCTTGAGCTTGAATCCTATTTTATTGTGCAGACTGTGTATCGTAATGGTATTGTCTTCAATCGACTTGAAAATTTGAAGCTATGTATATGCAATGATGATTGGTCAAAGTTACTTGTCCAGTTGCTCAAAGATTCTCCTAACCTGCGAGTCCTCAATCTCCTCGTTGATGATGTAAGTTTATTCGTTTGACCATTTTGCAGTCTAAATTCACACTAGTGTAGTTTTAACCTTTACTTTTCTTTTTAATCTTAGTATCCGTCAATTTATGGGGAATATGAACCGGTTCGCTGGAAAAATAATAAGAGCTCCGTCCCTAAATGTTTGTTGAACAGTCTTGAAACTTTCGAGTTTGCCGGGTACATGGGAGGACCAGAAGAGAGGGACTTCTTGAGTTTTATCTTCAAACATGCGCGTCGCTTGAAATCTTCATCAATCTTGCGCGGTTCAGAACGATATTATGGGTTTTGAGTTTTATGAGTTATGTTCCACAATAGAAACTTGAAAATGATCTAAGAGTCGGCGTATTATTGTTTTTTGTTGTATTTGTTCTTTGAATGTAGAACTTGTTTTCGGACAATCTATCGTCTGGTTTTATGTGGTAAACTACAATTTGTATGTCTCTGCGTTGTGGGTTGTGGCCTTGTAAACTACTGGTTCAGAAGCTCAACCCTAATCAAATAGTCCCATGCTTGTTGAAGAAGCTACGATGGTGAACACAGCTGCATTTCTAAGCTGAAGACATCTTATCAACAGCTCTTGATTCAAAGTTAAACGTAGTTATTTTATTTAGGCTTCAAATATTGGTCATTATGTCCATATAATAGTGGACGACATCTAGCATAACTTGATGCACAGATCATCCTGATAACGTAAATCGGATGATGAAGATCAAATGGATTTCAAATAAACAAAGAAGGATAAATGGATACAACGTTCACAAGTAACGCGGCAAGAGTCTCAAGAGAGATGCTCCGGCAATACGATGAGGAATAGCATGAGAATTACAGAGAATTCTCTAGAACAAACAAAGAACCAAATGAAGAAGAAGATTACAATCTCAGATTTAGCATAATGAAGAAGATGACACTCATTCGCTTTTAAAGGAGAAGAACAGCTCCAATCGCTTCCTTCCACGTGTACTGCAGCTCACTACTCCTCACGTGCCACACGTTCCAGTTTTGTTACTTCATTTCTTCATACTCCTTTTCCTATATCACATCCCTACGATTTACTTTGAGTAAATGTGAGATTCAACAATTAACAAGCATGAAGAAAATTCCAAAACAAAACAAGATCCAATCATCTAGAAGAAAATAGGTCTGCATAAGTAAATTCAAGATGCACTACAATGAAGAAAGTGAAAGGTCAAGACTTTTAATTGAAACACAGCAACAAAAGTAAAAAACAACAAAACTTGTTCTACTGACTCTCTCAATCCTCCTCTTCGATGACCTTTGTGCCAAGTCCACTGAGTCCTTCTGCAGGGATTTCAGCAACAGTGACAAGGGAGAAGAACTCTTCCTTTGCATCTTCATCGTCATTTCTCTTACGTGCAACACGAACCCTGATCCTCCTTGGTGGACCTCTGATTCCCTTGCTCCAGATTTGCTTGTTCAATTTCACGTCTACCCTAACGTCCTTAGTCCCCATAGCTTTCTCTGCAAACTTCCTGATCTCCTTAATGGCATTTGGTGCCTTCTTCTTAAAGGTACTGTTACAAATCAATAATACATAAGTAAAGATTCTTAATCACATAAAAACCAAACCCACCAAATAACAAATTCCACAAACCAAACTCTAATCTTAATTCTGTTTTATAAGAGATATCAAATGAACTATATCCTTTCATTTCAAGATTATATTTCGATCAAATGAATCCAAAACAAACAATCAGTACAAGATCTCTTTCTATGGATTAAACGTCTGATTACATTTAGAAAAAGATTAACTTGATCATACCAAAGTAAGTCTAAGAGTCTTGCAACTATAATATGACAGAAAGTAACTTAATTTCACAACAATCCTATGAACTTAACCTATCCAGCTCACAACATGAACACAAAGAGTGAAATCTAACATCGTGCACAGAAGAAATTAGGGTTTAAAGGAAAGGTCACCATTTGTGAAGGCGTCTGTGGAGGTTAATGGTGTACTCTCTGGTCACCACTTCCTCTTTCCTTCCCTTTTTCTCAGACATCTTTCTCTTTCTTTGTGACTTACTTCTTCAAACTCACTTACCTGCGATTATCCACAACCAAAATCACTTCAAAATCGAATCTTTTTATCGGAAATTGAACAGATCTGTTCATTGTTAGATCAAGGAAGCAGAATTGAGCTAGATTCAGAGAGAAAGAGTGTACCTTTGGATTGAAGAACGTCGAGAGACAGAAAGGGGACGCAGGTTGAGAAGTAAGCATATATATGCGGCACTTTGAGCTAACCCTAAAATTAATTTATTGGGCCTTAATGGGCCGATTTATTGTACTATTATCCTCGGCATTTTCATTTTACTCTTTCTTATTTCTTATAGCCTATTAATGGCCCAGACATCCATGTAGTAGCTAGTGGGAATTGAATTTAGGGGTGGGAAAAATCTTAACTGAAAAACCTAATTGGTTCTACTAATTAATCACCCATGTTAACCAAAAAGAAACAAAGTTTTGAGGATCTTTCTTTGGCTACGTTTCTTTTCATAGATATTAGATTCTTTGTTTTTGTTCTATGACTTAGATTTTGTGTATGTCGAAGTTTTGGTAAGTATCAAGTTATGTCCTCTTTGAAGCTTTTCATAGATTCCTTATGTCTTCTTCGCTTTTATAAAGTGAACTTAGGAAAGCATGAACATCCATTCGTTGCTTGATTATATTTTACTTAGAAAAAAATGGAGTTAGTTGGAGAAGAAATTGATTATACTTTTGTGATTCAGAAAGTTTTGGTTCTACTGTTTTGTGTTGGTTTGTCATGGAAAATGATAATATACATGTGTAATTTGTTAAACATTGAGAAAGATCCTATAAGGGTTTTGATTACCGGTGCAGCAGGTAATGTCAACCAAATACTAAATTTTACGTCTTTTTGTTTACTTAAAACTGAAACCAAACAAAGCGTGTTTGCTTTTGTTTATTTGTCTTTATTTATCTACCCATACCTTTGTAGTTTGTTCTTAATTTAATTGGGAACTTTCTATTGAACAGGAAACATAGGATATGCAATTGCTCCAATGATTGCAAGAGGTATGATGCTAGGTCCAGATCAACCCATGATTCTGCATTTACTTGATATAGAACCAGCTTCAAGTTCGCTAGAGGCTGTGAAAATGGAGCTTCAAGATTCAGCTTTCCCTCTTCTCAAAGGTGTTATCGCGACTACAGATGTTGTTGAAGCATGTAAAGATGTGAATATCGCTATAATGATCGGCGGATTCCCAAGGATAGCAGGCATGGAAAGAAAAGATGTGATGTCGAAAAATGTTGTGATATATAAAGCTCAAGCTTCTGCTTTAGAGCGTTATGCATCAGAGGATTGCAAGGTTCTTGTTGTAGCAAACCCTGCAAACACAAATGCTCTGATTCTGAAAGAGTTTGCGCCATCGATCCCAGAAGAAAATATAACTTGCCTAACACGGCTCGACCATAATCGAGCTCTAGCTCAGCTAGCAGATAAGCTAAGTGTTCCTGTAAGCAGCGTGAAGAACGTGATTATTTGGGGAAACCATTCTTCAACTCAATATCCAGACACCAATCACGCAACCGTCTCTACAAAAAGTGGAGATAGACCGGTAAAAGAACTTGTCACAGATCACAACTGGCTGAAGAGTGAGTTTATTACGGAAGTTCAGCAACGTGGTGCAGCCATTTTAAGAGCAAGGAAACAGTCAAGTGCTTTATCCGCCGCTAGCGCAGCTTGTGACCATATCCGTGATTGGTTCCTTGGATCCCCTAAAGGAACTTGGGTTTCTATGGGTGTTTGTTCTGACGGCTCATATGGTATACCACCCGATTTGGTTTACTCGTTTCCGGTTATCTGTGAGAAAGGGAGTTGGAAAATCGTACAAGGACTCAATATAGACGCGTTTTCGAGGGAGAAAATGGATGACTCTGCACGAGAGCTAGCTGAAGAGAAGGAATTAGCTTATTCCTGTCTTAATGCATAAACCAAAATTCGAAAAACTATGGGAGTCATAGCACAAACAATGTAGCAAACAAATAAGTTTGTGTTTCTAAAATTCTTGTAAAAATAATGGGAACTTACATAATAAACGCTGAGGTTCACTTATACATTTAAAAACTCTGAAATCTTGGGTTATAAAATCAGAAAATTGAAAAAAAACAAAAACAGAAACAAAAACAAAACAAAGGAGAGTTCAGACTTCTACTTGCGAGAGTATCTCCAGATGCCAAAAACAAGAACACCCAAACCCGCAACGCCCGCCAAAATCTAGTAACCAAAGAGACAAATTCATATTTTAATGATTGCAATGTTACATTTACGGAAACAAGAGAAAGAACAAATGAACACTGACCTTGGTGTCACGGATGTAAGGGGTCTCGGATCGTGAACTAAAGATAGACGGAAGAAATCCAAAACGAGATCTCTGTGGCATGAGAATAACAGCAGTGTACTGTTTCTTGGACGGGTGAGGAAGGATTCGCTGTAATGCAGCTTGTGCTGTTTGTGGTGCAAGTGACTCTCTCATTCGCAGACGCCCTTCTTCTAAAATCTAAAATCCACAGAGAAGTTTCTTCCCTTTTCGTAAGACTGTGTTTATGAAAAACCATCAAAGCTATTGACAAAAAAATGTTTTTTTTTTTTAACTGACCTTACAAGAAGCGCCTAAATCGCCAGCATAAACCCTTGATTGATATCCACGAAGAATCCTGTCTAACCAGTAATAGTTTTCCTGAACAGGAGAAAATAAAATCAATTTTGTTTCGACAGTAAATTATGGTTTTTGGCTGTGATGGATTTGTGATGATTATTATGGCCATAAAAAATTACCTGCAGGCCATTTTCGTGAGCTCTTTGTTCAATTTCAAGGATGGCTGAAATGTCTTCCTGCGAAGGGCCTTCCTCTTGAAGCCGTACAATTTCTTCTAAAGCTAAATCAACCTGAACGACAAAGAGGTGGCTTTGGTGACCAACAGGCAGCCAAATATATAGAGAAATCGTTAGATAGTGTTAGAACGATGGACATACCAGTTTAGAGGAGATTTCTGGATCACAGGAAAAATTTACACTGATGTCACCACGCAAATCCGCAGTTCTAGATGGTTTATTCCCGCCAAGAAACACCGAGACTTCAGCAGAATATATCTGCTTAATAGGAAAGTAAGGTCACTAAAGGTTTGGTATGATCATCATAGAAAACTGACACAAAGAGCAGAATATACCTGCCCGTGCTCGAACCTGAGAAACTGGATTATCTTGGTCTCTAGGAGTTTCCCTAAAAAGCCGATACAGTGGATTTCTTCGATCTATCATAAATTTAATGGTATGAAGCAAATGCATTAAGACATCTTTTTAGTAAGGAAAAGAAGAAAATACCATTAGTGAGTAAGTTATGGTTCAGGTGATGAAGCATAGTCACTTACCATTGTTCCATTTGTTAACTGCACAGGAAAGCATAATTGGACTGAACACTGGGCTTCCACCATTGGACTTCGTACAAATTCTCTGCAATATTTGCGAA